AATATTTTGGCGATAAAACTTTGTTCTTATAAGGTTTGGGGCCTTTTTTTCATCATGCATCTGCTGGTTTTTCAGCAAGCAAGTGGCAGTACCTACAATAATGGTTCAATTGTCATGGATACATTATTGCTTATTTTCATGGTAGCATTATTGATTTTGTGTTTTAATAGCATTACTTATTCAATTGTCATGTATGTATCAATGATTAAATTGCCACAGCTGTATTAATGATTCAGTTATTCATGGCTACATTACTGATTAAATTGTCATAGCTTCATTTCTGATTCAGTTGTCATAGTTACAGTGTCCTGAATGAATTAATGATTTAATTTTCTGACATTCATTACAGGCCATTTTTCATTGTTGTGTTAATAATTTTTTGTTACAGATGTATTAATGATTCATTTGTTATATGCACATTAATATTTTTTTCATCAAAAAATTAATGATTTAGCTGTTATATTTGCATTAATGTTGTAATAATAATTTATATTTTTTGTGATGCCAACAAATACTCTTTGTCACTTTCGTAATGCTCGTTGTAGTAGAGACTTTATAATCACAGTTACAACTATAGTAACGCCCTTGAACAATACTAGTGTCAGATGCCTTCAAATATCACTCACACTAATAGTACTTGCTCAAAAATACTTGCTCAACAAGTAACCTGTATAGTGATCTGAATAGAGAAATAGTATAGTGAATAGAGTAGAGAATAGCGCTCCATATAGTGATAGAGTAGAAATAGTAAATCCAAATAGTAACAGAGGATAGAATAGAAATGCAATCAATTAGACATGCACTACTTCTCATATATGCGTTTCCTCTATGGTCACATGGTCTACTTCATTCAATAATGGGATCTCCTGTGTTTGCTCACTGGTAATCTATGTTCAAACTCAAGTATCAGCAGCAACACTTTATTCCTATATAACAATATTTTAATGTCATTATGAATAAAATTGTCTCTGATGCACATGAATTCATTCATGTTTTAATTGGTATAAATGTAGTAGTTGAAATCATTGGGCTTGTTAATGGTCACATGCATGAACCTACTCAAGTATTTAAATATACAGACAGATAGAGATTTAGTGACTCTGATAGATGGACATATAAAAGCTGCCAGTGAAGAAAGAGTTCACGCATATAAAGACAATATTTATATTCCTATCTATCTATACAAAACTGTATCTATCAATTTGGGCATGACAGTCTGTCTCTTACTCTTTGCACTCACACAACAAACCTCTTCAGTAACATTCTACCTCAACTGGGTCTTAGGCCTTTTATAGGGTAAACCCTAGTATATATATATATATATATATATATATATATATATATATATATATATCAAGTATGTGGTGCAGTTCAATTTACATTACATGAATCATTCATACAAAAAACAGATATAGAAGTTAATGATATAAATGGCAAGAATACATCTTCGCAAACAAATTTAATAATGTACATTAACCCCGAACCTGTAGATGAATGTTATGATCCCTGTTTATAAATTCCAGTTACATAAGGTCTTTTTTTAGTTTTTTACAAGCTTTCATCTGTTCATACAGACATTGTCAGGTATGGAAATAGATTTCTATATCTGTTTTTTGTATGAATGATTCATGTAATATATATATTCTTATATACTTATCTATATAAGTTTCTTAATTACCCCCCTCCCACACACACACACACACTCTCGCTCTATCTCTCTCAGAACAAAGTTCAAATCCTGCCAGAAAGCGCATATTTTTCTTGAATATTCAGGTCAGTAGACAAAAATAAATAATATACCGTTTAATAAATACCATGAACCAAACATGTGAACAATGACAAAGTTTTAGTGAAAATGAAAACGAAAAGGAAACTTATAGTTTACATCAGGAAAAGACAGTTGAGGTTTCTAGTATACATAATGAGGAAAGAGGGTTTGGAAAATCTGATACTCACAGGACATACTGAAGGCAAGAGGGACAGAAGAAAACAACGCATACCATATTTAGTGAGTTTGAGTAAATGGATGGCAGGAAAATAACAGAAAGATGACATTTATTAAGGACAGGAAATTGTTGAGAGCCATGATCGTCTATTCCCTAAGGAGACATGGCACATAAAGAAGAAGAATAGTAATTTAGTTTTTTTAATGGCAGTATAATTCAATTTATACAATATTTTCGTAAATCAACAGTCTAATAAATAAATAGTGTTTAACTTTTTTCAAAAATTTATAATTAGATTTAATTGTAGTTATGTGTGTATGTAAATTTTCTTGTCCACAGGCATTTTTTATAAATAAAAAAATATTTCATAGTAATTTCTCTATAATATAGTAAATAATAAATGTTGCATTTCAGTTGGTTCATATATTTTTATAAACTTGTAAATTTTGATTACTTCAAACATTATTTTTACTGAATTTGTATTGATATTCCATTTTTTAAAACAGTGTTAATTTCAGCTACTGGCTTGCACTTTTAAATAAGCAATCTAATAAAATAGTGTTTACTACTTTTGTTGTCAATTCTTGAGAAAAAAGAAATCATAAATCTAGTTTCATGTTTGGGTTTTGTTAAAATGCTAAAAATGACTTTTTAAAACAATATAAATTGTCAAGGGATTATACAATAATAGTGATGTCAAGAGAAAAACCGTCCTTTTGACACATTGATTTTTGCAAGTATGTATATTAAACCTTGCCTAATTGACATGGAACCTTGTATACTTTCTTGTGGGTGGTATGTTGGCCCACGGATATTGAATAACAAAAGACAACAACAAACCTGTGCAAAAAATATATCTGCATGTTCATGTAGAGAGTGACAAGAGCATTGTTCTGAGAAGCACAGTTTTGTAGCCGTTGAAGAGCATTGTCCTGGGAAGGACAGTTTTGTAGCTGTTGAAGAGCATTGTCCTGGGAAGGACAGTTTTGTAGCTGCTGAAGAGCATTGTCCTGGGAAGGACAGTTTTGTAGCTGCTGAAGAGCATTGTCCTGGGAAGGACAGTTTTGTGGTTACTGTAAAGTGTTATCCTGATTGTTTATTGTATATTATTGCTAGAGAAAAGGATAGCTGGAGCAGCAGCTAATAGCAAGCAGAAGTTGCAGATGATGATGGCTGGAGCTGCAGGCTGGCTGTTGTAACAGATACTACACTTTGATCCTAGTCATCTGGGCCAGGGAAGGTAATATTTACCAACCTCCCCATGGTGTAGGATGTGGCACAAGGCTAAGTTTAATGTGGGGAAATCCGAGCCCATAGGCTCAGCCAAAAATTCCCCATAGACCTGGAATAAAACAGGGTCAGGTAGCTGTTTCCCAAGACGAGACTCTGCCCTTCGACATAGCCTTATCTGGGGATCCTCTCTGCCTGGAGGCAGAGAGCTTGGTCTGGGGAGGGTGCTATTTTTATGCTTTGAGGCCTTTTTATATCCTTAATCAGTTATACAATGATCACTGGTTAAGCTTTTTCTTTCAGTTGTTTTTTAAAAAATGTGGGAGTGCCAACAGAATACAACAACATTTTTTTTTTCATTGGTAGCATTAAACCTTCATTTGTCATGGATACATTTGTGAATCAGTTGACATTGATGCATTAATAAATCTGTGGTCACTGATGAGTTATTTGATCTGAATACATTAATGTTTCAGTTGCCATGGATGCATTTACATTATCTTGCCTTTGAAGTATTTGAAGGATAATGATGAAACACATATGTTATATTTAACAAAACAAGATAAGGAATTTATTTACAAGTTTACACATTTAGAGTTGTCAGTAGCTTGCTTTAGAAAAAAAAGGAGTCAAATATTTAAAGTTCATTGTTTCGATGAATTGTCAAAAAGAGAAAATGTTCATATTAAATCATCAGACACAAAAAGTAAAATTCCAAAATGTTTAAAATAAATTGGGAGAGTTTTTCACGTAAAAGTTATAAGGTTGTATTCAACATGAATGACAAGACATATTTTAAGGTACTTAGCTTTGGAGTTGAATAGAGTTCATTGAAATTGTCCTGCTTTCATTAGAGGCTGATAGTATATCAGCATGTAATTTGACACTGGTGTTATTCAGACGCATAGAACTTTGCTCCTTTCAGCCTCTTTCTACCTTGATTCAACCTTTTTTTTTCTCTATTTATTTCAGAAAGCAATTGACATCAGCTCGTCACTTTTTTTTAGTTTGTAAGACGCTCCCTTTTCCATTGGTGAAAATAAATTTTCACATAGGCTTGCGAATTTGAAAACAGTAAAGAAAAGAGAGTTATTTTTATTTCATATTAACCACACCTTTTCCATAAATTGCATTTTATTAAATTTAAAATCACTGTATTATCACCAGTTAGAAACAAGGCCCAGCATGCCATGCTTATAAATGTGACTTATCACACACATCACTGTTGCCATTGATGAAATACATTAAACACAGCCTGTGTTCATATTCAGTGTTTGATCTCTGAATGTCAGTGGGAGTAATTCAGTGACACAATTTCTTCATTCTCATATCAGATGTCATTTTGCTGCTCAACAAGACAAAAAACATAGATTATTGGTAGGAAATCTTTTAACCACTACTTACATACCATCAACATCCACCTCTAATATCATAGACCAATGTAAGCATTATTTTTTAAACAAATGTTCATATATTTATATAGATATTTACTTAGTTTGGCACAGTTATTATATTAGTTGAGTGCTCAATGAAGATTCAAGTTACTTCTCTAGTAAGAGAAATTTGCTAATCATTGCTATACAGCAGGAACCCCGAAACATTTATGTATATAATAATCTCAAAAGGACATCTTTTCATTGTGAAAAATGCTCACCTTATGTATTCTTAATCCAGTGAGAATTTTTACAGTGAATAAAAATTTTAAAATCTTAAACTTTTTTCTTTTTTTGCTTTTGTTTATATTTAATTTTTCACCACAAATGATTTTAAAATTGTCTCTGCTAAATTGGTGTGATTTTTTTTCTTTTTTTTTTTATATGAAAGGTACTGGCGATGATGAAGAACTGGCAGGACTGACAGATGAAGAGAAGAAGAAAATTGAAAAGGAAAAGAAAGATGCGGTAATTACACACATACATAAATTCTCTTTACTTAAGAAATAAATTAATAAAATGTCATAGAAATGTATCTGAACAAATTAGGTAAATTTTTAGAAAATAACAAAAACAAAAGGTTGATTTCCATTTACATAAAAATAAACTTGCTCTCTCTCTCTCTCTCTCTCTCTCTCTCTCTCTCTGCAATATCATAAAAAACATGGGTGATCCTGGGTCTCCACAGCTTCCTATCTTTTATTTCTCTTAATAAGTCTTGCTCCTTTACAATCCCATTTTGCATTTTTTCCTACATGGTTTCTGATCTTTGTTCATGTTGGGGCCAGAAATAAAGATACAAAGAGAGGAATTAAGTTAAACAAATATATTAATAGAAACAGTAATACAAATATATACAAACAAGAGTGTTACAGCAAGAATGTTCGGTCCGACTGTCAGAGCTGACTGCTGGAAACTTCCCTCTCCAAAAGGCAGTACCTGCTTCTATTTATAGCTGGGATAGTCCATGCGTGTGTGGGTAAATTACCATAACAGTTCAGAACATACACCATGACTGATCATGGTTCTCCACATCTTCCTGGCTTTTGTTTCTCCTTTACAATCTCTCTTTGTAGTATTTTGTCTTCCATCCATTGGTTCAGAATTTTTAATTACAATTACACTCCTTGCTCTCCTCTACTTGTCTTGTCTGTGAGTGTTAAATTTTACAAGCCTTCTCTTTTTCATTAAGTGTTCCCAAAATTTAAACTCCCTCTTCCTGATTGTCAACAGTTTCTTTGTGGTTCCTAAAACTTCATTTATCACATGTTCTGTCCATAATATTCTCAACATTCATTAGTATAACCACATCTTGATAATTTCAAATCTTTTCTTCATTATGATGAACTTAACCACAATTTGCTGTCATATAGGACGATAAACAGAACATAGCAGTCCATCACTCTTTCCTAATTTCTAATGTTATTCTTCAGCCCCTTAATAACTCAGTTTCTGAAAAATATCTTTTGCACCTTCAGATTTTTGTGTTACATTTTCCATCATCTGTTATCATAATACCCAGATAGTTAAATTTTCACACCATCTTGATTCTGACAACCCTGATATGTAACTCACACCATAGGCTGTCCCTTTTGTTGGCAACTATGCATTTCATCTTCTTATAATTAAAGATTTTCTTTTGTTCTTGCTTTTCTACATTGTTCACTCATTCTTACAGTACCATATACTGAGCATGTTATGTCTACCTGTAATAAATCTTGCTAGGTCTTCTAATCCTCTTTGAATCATTTTTGATGTACAAATTAAATAAATAACTTAAGAAGTAATTATGTTTATAGCCAAGGAAAAATAAAACTTTTTGAAAAATTTAAACATGGCATGTTCATGCATGTAACACATACCTGATTGACTAGAAAAATCAATATAAGGTGATCACTATTCAAGTCATTTTTGTTTTGAGCACAAATGCTGCCAATTCATTGAATGAACAAAACTGTAGCTACATGATGGTTTAAAAGAAATATGGTTCATTCTTCATACTGATGTTATCCTTTTATTTAGAAAAGACATTGTGAAAACTAGAAGCAAATAGCACAATACAAAGGACATGAACAAACAAAATACATTTCAAATAAATGAATATAAATGATAGCAATATTTCAAGGGAAATGGACACACAAAATACACTCTAAAGAAGTACACAAAAAAAGGAAAACACTTTTCAAATAGAAATAAGAATTTGGAACAAACTCAGACATAATAAAGGGGCACATTGTGTCTTAGAGAAAAATTTCAGACTTAATAGGAAACAGATATTTACCATGTTGCCTCATAGACCGGCAGTAGCTAAAAGAACATGTGGTAGTTTCCTTACCCCTAAGGGATCACATGGTAGCAGACTTGCAGAAAAATACAGATAAACACATTTTATTATTTTATATATTGTATTATTTTTATATATTCTTTACATATTAAAAATTATCCTTATAATTTAACACTATTACTACTGCCACCATACTACTACTAAATAGCAAGGTCTCTGATCTTGAGAACACATACTGGGCCATTTGGCAGCCATTACAAAAACTACTAGAGTGATTTTTATGTTGAATCAAAATCAGAATTGATGGAATTTATTCTAAAGTGAAAGATTTAGTCATATTTTACAATAACTATGTATTATTATAAAAATGCTTCCATAAATTTGAACAAAAGATTACACCTGATAAGCATATTTAAATTTGAAGCATTTTATTTCAAATTGAAAATACACGGTTAAAAATATCTGATATGTTTGTTTTCACTTTTATTCAAAAATATAATGTTTATTAGTTTTTTTTACCATAACTTAAGATGTACTTTTTATCATTAATAACTAAACCAGTTTTGAATAGTGTGTCTCATTTTCACAAGCTAACAAAAGTCATTAACTCATTCTTTGAAGAAAAAACATATTGATATTAAAATTTGGGTTTATTAACAAGACCAAATCAATCAAATTTATTGAACATTTCTAATCTATCAATTAAGATTTAAATTTAAAAAGAAAAATTGGAATCATCAAAGAAAGACATTAACGTTTTCCTTAAGTGTTGTAGCATACCTACGGATGATAATGGGTATGTCCCCATTCACATAAATACAGTAGTAAATACTGTATGTTGGTCTGCAGTTAGAGATTCATTGTGGAATTCATTTGACACACTTCTAGCTGTTGACTACTTCTTCTACATGCTGCTGGCAAATCTTATATGTGTTGTTCTTGTCCTAAGTATTATCATTCATTACCAACCTTAGTGTGATTATTCTATTCAGTAACCTTCCCTAGGTTACAACATTAAGAATGTTAACATACAGACTAAAGCTATGATTGAAGTGCCCATCAACTTAGATCAACTAATTATAAACTGAATGAATTGTAAAATTTTTGGTGAAAACTCTGATAAATACTTTAATGTAACTGAAGCATTGGTGCATATTTATAGTATAATGACCAGCAATACATTTTATAGTAGAATTACCAACAATACATTTTATTGCAAATGACCAACAATACATTTTATTGCAAAATGACCAACAATACATTTTATCTGTAGTTGAAGGCATCTAATTTCCACATTGATGTTCTTAAATAGCCTTATCAAGTCTAAACTCTTGTATGATGTTATACATTCAGAAAAGTTGAAATTATCAGCTATATATAAATGTTTTCTCAAACCAGTGATTAAAAATGGATTCAAGTGAATGAACCTTGTAGATCTTGAAGAGAGGTGTCTTTGTAGACTGGTGCTAGAGAATCACTAAGAATGTTACCAAATAACAGAAAAGACATCACTTGAAGACTTTCAACAGCAGTAACAACTAAAATAGATTGTAACTTGAAGAGAAAATAATGACATAATGAAAATGTTGAATTCTTACACTACCTTAAGCAAAAGGTTAAGAAGGAAACTCCAATCAGTACCAAAAAGAGTGATAACAATGGACATGAGAAACCTATTTTCCTGAAAAACTGCTTTAATAGAAAGATTTTATAAATTTCATCTGGCAGTAACACTAACTGCTGTTCAGTCAATAAATGCTGAATATTTCCTTTATAAGGCTAAACTTACCATTAACTTATATATATATAATAACTTGGTAGCAAAATTTATCCTGTAATTATTGTTTTTATATATTAGAAAATAATTTTTTCCTTATGACATGCTTGATGATTGCATATTTTGATCTATTTCTGTGTTGACAACTTTTAATAATAATGTCTTTTTCTTTTCATAAAGGGAACTGCAGCTAAAGAAGCTGAAGCCGCTGAAGAGATGTCAGCTCTTGTCAACTACATCCAACCAGTTCATTTTACTACTTTTGAACAAGCCCAAAGTAAGTGGATAAAAAATTTACTCATGGTCTTTTTCTTTTCTTTAGTTTTACTAGTCCTCAGTATGACGATAAACTACATCTGACAGCAAGGCTTATGATAGGGAGATTGGAGGTTTTAAGGAGTTTGGAACCAACACTTAATTGCTGCTGTTGTCAGGTCCATCCTGACCCGGGGTAGTAGCACCTGTTACAGTCCCAAACAAAACACTACGAAAGTATAAAAATACATTTTTTATAGTAAAAATACCAACAATACATTTTTATATAAAAAATTACCAACAATGCATATTTATAGTAGAATTACCAAGAATACATTTTTATAACAAAATGACCAACAATACATTTTATCTGTACTTGAAGGCATACCATTGCATTCAAAATATATTTAGTTGAAGGCATACTATTGCATTCAAAATATATTTAGTTGAAGGCATAATATTGCATTCAAAATATATTTAGTTGAAGGTGTAATATTGCATTCAAAATATATTTAGTTGAAGGCATAATATTGCATTCAAAATAATTAAATTTCAGCAATAAACAATCTGTAGAGGTTGATATGTCACGAAACAAAATCAACCAACCAATCTTTAATTTTACTTATCTTTCTATTAAATAACTGTTTGTTTTTTGTTTTGCTTTTATTATTATTACCATATTATAATTCTGCTTGTGCGAACATTATTTAGTAAGTTAGCATGCTTTACAATCTTCCATTAACTCAGATGAATAATGGGCCATTCTGTTTTGGTTACTAGGAATGATGGAAGAAAAAGATGTCTCAGAGATGCTGTTTTAGGGAAAGGAAGAGAAAAAAGATTAGGAAGATAGAGAAGGTTCTAACACTCTTGTGCTTAAAATCTGCAGGGAAATGGAAAACCTTTATATATTTTTAATCTTTTCATTTGTACCCTCTTACTTCTTTAAATAATAACTTACATTCATATTTATGATTGCTATTGAAATACTTTGTTAAAATATTTAATAATACAATAGGGGAATTTTCATGGGTATTTTATGATGATATAACTTGTAAGGAGCTTATTCAAACATTAACTTAAGAATTTTTATTCATCAGAAAATTCAGATAGGAAAACCATTAAATTTTCACAGGTACTACTAGATATTTATAAATATGCAAATCATATGTAATATATGAACAACTGATTTTGCTGGGACTGCCTCTACAGTAACATATGTTTTGAAAAAGGCTCCCAAAATAACAAATAGGTTCCAAATGGCACATGTGAACAATTAACTTTTGCAAAATGTTTTTTGCATTTGTTTCCTTCCATTCTCATCACAGAATTTGATTCCACTAAAGATGTATATTCTTACTTCAATAAACAGCAAAGTCATCTTTAAAAAAGTAAGTTTTGTCTTGATTGACCATTTAACAATTCTTTGTTAAACAGCCTTTGCAAATAGTTTCACATGCATTCATAAAGACACATGGTTAATGAAAGAATGATTTCAATGGTTTTCAATCTTTTTTCATGATTTTTCTGATTGTTAAGCACAGAATACTCCCCAACTAGAAGAAATTGATCTATAGTCAAAAGACATGTAAAAAAAAGTTAAATGACTTTTATAAATGCTTCTCAAATGAAAGATATTTTGCTTTAAAATCTTTTTCTCCCAACAGTTAATTTCAACATTTGGTATAAAATATTTATATGAGAAGGCATTTTCAAAGATGAAACCTGCTGAATTTGCATATAGGTTAATCGTAACTGACCAACATTTTGATTCAATTTTGGCAATAGAAATCATGAAGTTGGAATTACAATTTGAATTTTATCTAAAAAAAAATAAGAATTCTGTTATTGATTATTCATTTTTAATAAAACTAATAAAAGAATTAGAGTTTATGTTTATTCATAACAAAAAATATTATTCATATAGTTTTAAATAAAAAAATTTAAAAAATATAATCTTAGTTTTATAGAAATGCGTCTCAAATAGTCTCTAAAAACTATGTCCAACTCGAAGCTGGAGAATGAGCGAAGGTAGATCACTAGCTACTTTGGGGAGACAGTGCTTATCAGCCTGGAAAGGTAGTCTGTCTAGGGGGAAGCAAACCCTGGTTTTAAACCTCTACTCCCTTGCTGCAAAAACATGGAAAAAGCTATGGAAGTAAATCCAGACAGAAAATTAGGAGTGCAGCCTTGAAGGCAGTTGGTTGTCAAAATTGAAAAATTTCCAGCAACTTCTTCTTCAGCTAAGCTGGCCTCAAATGTAATGATCTCTATTCTTTTGCATCTTGTCGGTATGGCTAAGAGTGGGGCAATGTGGTCTGGGCAGCACACAGACTCCATAAACCTGTGCCCTGAAGAGATCACTCCAGTCTTACCACCAAAAGACTGAATTTTAACCAAACAGTGTGCTACCATTATCTTGCAAGGTAAACAGATGCCTACTATTGTAAAGATCCAAGGTTTTCCTTTGAGTTTGCTTTTACCTGTCTGTTCAAAACATACTGTCACTCCAGACCATTTCTAAAAAATTTGCTTTTAATTGTTTTAGATAATTAGTTTTCAACATGGGGGAGTTTTTCCTTGCTGGGATTTTAGAATTTATCAAAGGAGTTTGTTTCCAGAGATTGTTCAGATTTAAACTGTTGTCAAAATATTGATCTTTCTACGATGCACCTTTTTAGAGTCAAACAATCGCAATGGTGTGAATGACATTCTGAAATATGGTGTAATGAATGGATAAACAAAAGATTAAGAGCTATTGTCTTAGATCATAGAAAATATTTTTTTAATTTACTTTCTTCTATTTCAGAGAAAGACAGACATTATGAAATGTCCTCAATGGTGGAAACCCAAGCTTTGAATAAACTGAAAGACAATCCTGAGGATTTTGTAGAGTATCCTTTTGCATAAGCAATTTTTGGTAAATACTGACTGTTTCTATTTGAATTTATGGGATGATAAGTTATCATTATTTACATTCAGACTAATATCATTATCTTTGTTGCTATTATTGCAAAATTTGAGTTGTTGTGATCTCCAGCCTTCTTCAGGCATCTGTTGATCAAAGTTGCCTTCAGAGAAGTTCAGACTGAACCCTGTAGATTAAATAAAGAGTTTCTGTTTGAAATTCCATGCAGGTTAAAGAATTATTCAGATAATCATATCGTTACAAAACATTTTGTCCAAACATACAATGAAGCCCTCTGAAAGAAGTGTCCAGTTTCAAATATTTGGGTGCAACCTTATCAAAAGATGGCACCTGCAATGCAGAGATCTTCAAATGGATCGCTGCAGCAACAGTAGCGATGAACAGACTAGAAAGGATATGGAAGAGCAACATCAGCTTCCATACCAAGTTTAAGCTTTACAAATCACTGGTTATATCTATTCTCCTCTATAAGTGCGAGACACTCCTGTTTCAGACAGGAAAATGGATCCAGGTGTTCAAGAACAAATGCTTGTGGAAGCTACTCTCCTACTGTGAGCACAAAACCAATGATCATACAGAGCAAGGTCAAAAGTCTTGTGGGCTGGCAGAAATGTCTTCTTACCGTTATTAAGAGTCTGAAGATGTCATGGTTTGGCCACATCACATGTCATAACAGCCTTTGAATGACCATCATGCAAGTACTGTTGATGGTGGATGCAAGTGGGAACAGCAATTTAAAAGCTGCTCAGACAACATCAGTTAACAGATATGACAATGCCAGAATTCCTGAGAGATACCCCCAATAGATCATCCTAGGGGAGGTTGTCAGATTCTCCTTGATGATTGAAGCTGTCAAGGGACTGATGATGATATAGTTACTAAAATAAATCTGACAGCATCTTGTGTAAGTTCAAAAATCAATTTCTCAATGACTTTTTAAGTGAAGATCTCAGTATTTGTCTCCAATTGTCCCAATCCATCATAACTATTTTTCCCAAATTTTAAATGCCAGTATTTTGATAAATGTATTTGGGAACATCATGGCTTGCCAGCCCCTGTTTTTTCAACCTTTAGATGGTCACCATAAAATGTTTTGATGCAATTTTTTTGGATGATGTAAGCAATGTCTGGCAAGCTTCAACCTTCCGAATGCTATCTTCTTTGAAAATAGGATTAGTTTTCCATAGAATTTCTTGTCCATTAGTTTGGCGTTCTAGTGTATATCAAGTTCCATTTGTAACATTCTAATTGTCTGTCTTGCTTCCATACAAGGGGACTGACTCTACTGTAGCCAGGAAGAAGCATGTATTGATGTTGTGGCTGAGTTTTGATTTTCATGCTTTCAAAAACTCAGCCAAAGAGCATAAAAGTATTCTTTTAAATGTGAATTAAAAAATATCTAGAATGATTTTAGCTTGAATGCCAGAAACAACTAATGCACAATTTCTCAAAAAAAAAAAAAAAGATGTACTTTGCAACTAAGGTAATTGCACAAATTACAACACTGCCAATGATTGTTTTTTGGGGTTTTTTTTGTTTAAGTAAAAACCAAGAACTAAAATGCTGATTTTCAAATCAAGCAAACAGGTGAGGCCATTCTCAAACACAATCTTCTTGCCTGTTATTTGGCACTAAACTTAGTAAATATCATATTATAATTCTGCTTGTACTTCCATTAGTTAGCATGTGTGTTACACCATGCCATTACCTTAGATAAATAATGGACCATTCTATTTTGATTGTGAGGAAAGATAGAAGAAAAAATGTTATCAGAAATGCTGTTTGATTTTTCTGAGAAAAGGTAAGGATACTTAATAAGAAAGAGAAAAGATATGTTAGATGAGGTGATAACTCTTATGCATTTAATATCTGCTTCAGTGAAATAGAAAACCTTGTCAACTTTAATCTTTTCATTTGTACCCTCTTACTTCTTTAAATAATGACCTGCATTCATGACTATAATTTTTTTTTTTAACATTTTGTTAAAGTTGTTAAACTCAAATATTTAACAATGCAATAGGGAAATTTTAATGGGTATAGTCATGGAACTCCTAAGAATATTCAATTATTAACTTAAGAATTATGATTCCTCAAAAAATTAAATAGGAAAACCATGAAATTTTAATAGGTACTGCTTGTTTATAAACTTTATGTAATGTCTTCAAATTAAACAATACAAACTTATCAAGACTGCATCAGTGTATTTTGAGAAACCGCAGCTGTTGTTTCAAAATTATTATAATCGATGAAATTTTATTTTTGCTTCATGACTCAATATTTTTTGTAACTGACAATCCAAAAAGAAAAAAAAACTGTTTTGAGTTTGTTTTGATTGATAAAAATAATTTTATTTCTAAAAACAAATTTGTGAAATATTTTCCTATCATCTTTCCATTCTCACATTTATTTTCAATAGGATTTTGAATTATTTTGGATACCTTACCTTTATTTGTAGGCAATTATTAGGGTTTTTATTCATAAATATTTACATCAAGAATGAGTTTTTAATAATAAATTTACTTAACCTGTTTTGTCTCAATGTTTTCTTTCTTAAAAAAAAAAAAAAACTTGATGAATATACTCTTAGCAACCCTTAACTGAAATTCAGTTATAACAAGAAACAAATAACCAGAATTTATCCCAAGGGTACAAGAGTAGACTCCAGTAACTATGTACCTCAGGTAAATATTTTTGTTACTTTTTATTGCTTTCTTCTCTATATTTGTATTTTAATAACTTTTCATTCTGGGGTAAGAGTTATCAGCAGAGAAAAAAAAATTGCGTTGTACTTATATAACATCAAAAATTATATTTTGCTTTGTACTTTCTTGTTTATGTTTAATATTTCCTGAATATTAAACCAAACAAATAATATTCTATTGACTATTAAATAATTATAAAGTTTTATTTATCAAATTTAACATAAAATTCTCTTTCTCCTTCATTACCAGAAGTGTCTATAACTTAGTGATTAATGATTATGTCACCAGAAAGGTTCCCTCCATACAGATGGGCAATTTGTTCATTGCTATCTAGAGAATTCTTAAAATGACACAATGAAAACATGAAAAATATAATCTAAAAATATACATAATAGTATGTAGATAAATAACAAGACAGAAATCTGTGTAGTGTTTTATTCTGAAAAGGAACTTCATTTGACAAAATGTTTTTTTTTTTATAGAATTAATACCAAAGTTTAACAAATGTACCCACTAAAAAACTGTCAAACATATGATTTTTCTCTTGACACTGTCATTACTAAATACTTATTTGACAATTTTATTGTTTTAAAAAGCTATTTTTAGAATTTTAATAAAACCCAAACATATGAAATTGGATTTATGCAAACTCATTTTTCTTGAAAATTGACAACAAAAATATTAAACACTGTCAAATAAATAGTGTTTAACATTTTTCTTGTCAATTCTTGAGAAAATAAGTATAAATCTAGATTCTTGCAATCTACTTAAAGATTGGAATGAAGAATTTGTTGAGTCTGTCCTATGTAAATTATATCTTGTGCCATCTTGTTGTTGTATATGTTTAAATGTCTATATCATTCTTTGAATTTTATTTTAATTTTTTTGTTGTTTGTTGCTTTAGACTGTGATGTTTTCAGCTATCCTTCATTGTTTCGTGTGTATTTTGTTCTCCCCATTGCTCTTAATTATCAAACTTCAGCCCCTCCCCTCAATCTTGGTTTATTTAGAATGTGCTCACCTACTGTTGGTTATCAATGTTGAGAAACTGATGCAACAAGAGTGAACTAAGTTTTACCATCCCAATTTTTTTTTGTTTGGTAGTAGACAACAGAACTAATACTAAGTTATAACTTCATATGAACTCCCTCGTATTTTAAGTGTGTGTGTTTTTTTTACAGATTAATAGGAGTAGATAGTCAGTTATGTGCCATGCATGATACATGTGTAGGCGATCATGTATCTTTCAATACATGACTGATGAGGCAGATTTTTTCCCACAGTAGGTTGCCATTTCTTTCTGTGGTAGACCTGTTGCCATCCAAGGCTACAGAACCTGGTCTATCCTGCTATTTACCAATACCTGGAGGGAGAAAAAGAGGATTCATACCTTTCCCAAGGGTATTAGCACATGTGAATGTAATGGATTCAACTAGAATTCAAACTCGGCTCTCCAATTCCTCAGTCTGAGGCTCACCTAATATCCAGCCTGTACTCTTTCCATGTCTGTTGAACAGGAGGAAAGGTTGCAGAGCCTTTTTTCAGACAAGCAATATGGCTTTCATCAACTACTGATGTACTAACAATAATTGTGGAAAGAGTCTATCATGCTCTAGATAAAAACAGTGAAACCCAGCATTGGACATCTCGAAAGCCTTTCACAAGGTTGGCATTCAGGTTGTCTCTACAAGCTGAAAAGTTACAGTATCTCCAGGCACATTTTTGAGCTGATCCAGTCATTCCTATCAAATCATGAAATGAAAGTTATCCTGAACAGCCACCCATTTAGATATTTTCATACTAACACAGATGTCCCCCAGGGCTTCATCTTTGGTCATATTTTGTTTTTAATCTCCATTAATGATATTTCCTATGACATCAACTCTGAACTTTGCATTTGTGTTGATGATGCTACCATTTACTCCTGCCTCTATAATAAGGCTGACCAGTCTAACAAGGTCAAAATGGCAGCTGATGTGCAAAACAACCTTAAGACTGTCATTAAGTGAAACAAAAAATGGCTTGTCAATTTTAATGCCTCCAAAACTAAACTTCTCTCCATTAATCATCTGAGAGACCCCCTCTCTGCCTTCCATCAGCATGACTGATGCTAATCTCCAGGAAAGTGACTCGTTGCACCTTCTCAGGCTAATGTCAGCTGACATGAAGTAGAAAGACTGTTGAATCCATTGCTAGGTCAGCTGCTAAGAAAGTCAGTTCACCGTGTCATGCGAGACAATTTTTCTCTCCAGAATCTATCTTGCATATCTATAAGTCTACCATTTGTCTATGCTTTGAATATAATTGCCATATTGTCCATGCCCCTGCTATTTACCTGAAGCTCCTTGATAAGATCCAAAGAAGAATCAGCAATATTATAGGTCCTGATTTGGTGGCTTGGCTTCAGTCACTTTCCCACCACCGTAAGGTTGCCTCTCTATGTCTTTTCTATAAATGCTTTCATGGTAATTGTTCGGATGCACTCTTTTCTATGGTACCTAGACTGTATGAATTTAAGCGCAATACTAGACTGGCAATGTGATCTCATCAATTTGTAGTTGAGCTAGCTAAATGTAGCTGTAACTTCTATGCTAACAGTTTCTTCTCTTACACTTCTTGCTTGTGGAACTCCCTTCCAGCCCCATGCTTTCCAGCTAACTTTAATCTGCAAAAATTCAAATGCAATGTCAATAACTATCTACTCTTCTCTTTCTATTCATTACTAATTTTTCTGTTCCTAATTCCTCCACACCCTTGCTTGGGGTGATACTGATGAAAAAAAATTTGGTGAAATTTGGCAAGAGCAAATGAAAGAAATGTCCAGAAAATGTATTTTTTTTTTAAATTTATAATTGCAGTTACTCATCATTATGTGTTTATTTAAATTTTCTTGTTCACAGACATTTTTATAAATTTATGAATAAAGAATTCATTTTCATAATTATTTCTTTATAATGTGGTAAATCTTAAATATTGCATTGAAGTTGGTTCACATATTTTTACAAACTTGTCAATACAAACTTATTCTTATAAATAAATAATCTAATAATTAAATAGTATTTAATATTTTGTTATCAAGCCTTCAGAAAAAAACAATGTCTAAATCCAGTTTCATGTGTTTGGGTTTTATTAAAATTTAAAAAATAAATTTTTAAAACAATAAAAATTGCCTACAGAGTATACAGTAATAGCAGTGTCAAAAGCAAGACAGTCCTTTTGACACAGTTTTTTGCAGGTACATTTGTTAAGCTTTACCAAATCAATATGATATAAAAGAAGAGATAGAAAATAAAGACATAAAGCCGCAACAAATGCTGGTTACAGTTTTCTTTAAAATTTTAAAGATACAGAGACACTCAACATTTAAAATATAAATTTGGATATTTGATATATCTAAATGTTAAACTTAGCCAATCTCACTAAGTTTTTTTTATCACTTTTAACAACAATTAAAATTTTTATCAAGATAAAACCATCTCATGGGTGTTTATAGTATCACAAACCAGCATTTGCTGTATTTTCCTAGGTAGGGTTGATTCCATCTGAAGTTCATTTTCATAATGAAACCTGTCACAACAGCTTTCCATCTATTTACGTATACGTGTGTGTTTTATGTGTATACACTTTGCATCTTATATGCATATTTATTCTATTCTTATACATGTGGTTTTTATAAAAGCTGTCTGAGTTTTTAATCAAAGCATAATTTGATTCACTCCTTGGAGCTAATTAATTACAGTTAAAATCTTTGATAAGTGTTTTCCCAATATATAAATTTTTTTTTTTTGTGATAGTAACATTTAGTTTTATTTTTAAGTCATATAAATTCTAATTCTCTGGCATTTTATTTCATAGAATTAAGAAACATGATTCTTTTTCTTCCTTACTAAATATATGTGTCCAGTGATACAATTTAAGGGTTTTGCAAAAGTTTGTGTGGATCATTTACTATAATTACACTTGTTCACAGATCGAGTTCTTAAATTGGCTCTTATATTAGCTGAGGAAAAAAAAAAATTAGGGAAGTCAAGAAAGAAAAGAGAACTGGTTCCTAATTTCATAAACAAAAAATATGAGATATAATAGAAGTGAGAACCTGTCCCTAAAAAATTTGATCCCTCTACCATTCTATAAAACTATATTTTTTTCTTTGCATATTTATTTACTGACTAATGATTGTTTTATACCATTCTCTCATTGTAGATCTACTGGAACGCTGGTTGCCAATTGGTTGCCTTAAACTTCCAGTGCTTTGGTAAGTTATTACAAACTCTCTGCTAGAGAAATTTTATAGTTTATTATCACTCTCTCACACACACACACACACACACACACACACACACACACTCTATCTATCTATCTATATATATATATATATATATATAATTTTTCATGTCCTTTTAGAATATGGGCGGTCATAGCGCTCCACAGCTTCCTGCGTTTTCTTGCTCTCAAAAATATTTTCTTCTTCATAATCCCTCTTGGTTTTTGTTGTACTTGTACTCATCTATATATTTGTTCAAAATTATCAAGTCACTTGCTTCTTTTCCTCGATGCACCCTGTGAGTGTTATATTCTCCAAGCCTTTTTTCTTCATTATGTGCCATCAAAATTTCAAGTGTCTCTTTCAACTATTTATTTGTAGCTAAAAACTTCCTTATTTGTTATATGTTCTTTCTCCTAAAAACTTCCTTATTTGTTATATGTTCTTTCCATAACATACTTAACATTTGTATTTATTTATTATTGTTACTTTTTATCACAACAGTGGAAGCATACACAGTGAATAAATTTCTTAACTCCGCTAATGGAGGAATTGAAAGTGCATTTGTATCACATAATGTTATGGAAGTACAAGCAAATAAAAACATTATAAAAACAAATCTGAAGACACCAGCCCAAATAATTTGTGAAATTTTTTCATATAATTCTCATTCTTATGCTTAATTTATGCCCAATTAAGGAAATATATCAAATCTGCCTGCAGATGAATTGCTCCAAACGTTTCCATTTTTCATAGCAATTGAGACTTTAAGATTTTTTTTTACAGTTTCAAAGTTGGCTCAAATCTTTAACAATAAATTCTGAGATGCAGACATTTTCAAAAGTTTTTTTCTAATTTTTGTCATCTTCTATTCTTTGAAATTAATCTTCTCTTGAACTGTTAAAAAATTTCCAAAAAAAATAAAAATGATCTCCATATACCCTAAGTTTTTATCTCTTAGCATTTGTCATTTTTTGCTTCTTCTTTGCAGATATTGTCATGTATGTCAACCTTAGTGCATTTGAATACAATAGCTGTTTTGCTTATTAAATTATCTTTACATACACTAAGTTTATCACTTTAAAATATTTTTTGTACTTTCTATTTGCAGATATTGCCATGTGTGTTAATCTCGGTGTGTTTGAATACAATGGTTGTTCAGGTTATTTACTCAAACCTGAATTTATGAGAAAACTTGATAAGAGATTTGATCCCTTCACAGAATCCACTGTCGATGGTGTCGTTGCAGGAACCATTGAAATTAAGGTAAAGTTAAATAATTCAGCAATAAAAATGTCTAATGTTACAACTTTGTTGATTTTGTTTATTACTCTCTTAAGCATAAGTTCTTCATTAAGATTCTCAAATATAGACTATTTAAAAAAACAGAGCATCTACTCAAACAGGTGTATCCACTAAATATACTGTTTTAAAGTAATAAATGATGTAGGATTATAAATAAAATTTGTAGATGGTGTAGCAACAGAGAACAAGAAATTGGAGAGCCAAGTTTGAATTTTGTGACCCTCTCTTTCGCATTCATACTCTTGGGAAGCAGACTGGGTTTTTCAGCCTTGGTTGGCAACCAGTCTAGAAGAAGGACAAGTCTGAATTCAAAACTATATGTATCCCAGCCAAAGCACATGCTGTGCAGCAAACAAAAGGATTGTGGATTTCCCAATGATTCTATGATTCCAACTGTAATCGTTTAATCAATTAAACAATCAATAAATCAATTAATTCCTTAGAAATTATTTTGTTTACATTTTAGATACAAAAATAAAGGCTTGTAGATATGGTCTTTAAGAGATCCCAATGATAGATGAGCATTTCTTAAATAGGGTAATGTAGAATCAAAAATGATACTCACCCTCCCTGTTTAACCTTGGTCAGTTTGTCCAACTAAATCCTACAGGTAATTGAACCTTGTTTGACTGTGAAAGCTTTCCATCACTTAGCAGCCTAAAACATACTAGTTGGAAGATGCAGGTGTAAAACCTGTCAGAATGTACTTTTTCTTTATTAAGATTTTCAAATGCACAGACCAACTAGTAGATGTAAATTTTAAAACACGGATGTCCACTGACTTTAACATTTAAAGTAATAAGAAATATTATTGGATTATAAATATAATCCATTAATTCCTTAGAAAGTATAAGTTATATAACCTTCTTTCTTCCAATGTATGTTGTTTGTAAACATGTCATTTTCTAATATTTTCTAATATTTACATAGTAATTATGAGTTCAATCCCTGGGCCAGACAGTGTGTACTTGGACTCGGTGGAAACAGTGTGAGCAATAAGTGAGCATTACTTAAAAATAAGAACTAGACAAGATATCCCTAAACACAGGCTGTAGATTAAATCATGGGTTCAGCTCAACATACACCTAATGAAGGTCAGAGGGCACAGTGGCTGAATTGCTGTGATAACAATAACAAAGATGACGATAACAGTCCACATGTAAATAATGATAACTCCTCATCCCAGAAATTTAGATGATTTTGGCAGAAGTACTCACTTTGTGGATTTGCTTTCTTTTTTTTTTTTTTTTTTTCAGCTTCATTCTGATCGGGAGATTGACTGGTAGATTTTTTTTACCTCCATGTCACCCTGTCAGCTATTTCTGTTGGTGGTTGAATCTAAATTATATAAAAGGATAATGATATAAATAAGTATTGGAATAATAATCAAATGAACGACATTGTTTATCAAGAACATTGATTTTATAAATTGTAAAATTTTCAGTGTGTGTTTGTTAAAGTTAAGCTAAGTATTGTAACAAAATTAATTCAGAATTACATTATCTCTACATCTACATAGATAGATTCAAACATATGTAAGATAAGCTTAGGTATGTAGACGTAAATACATGTTATGTAGACTAAGACACACTGTACAGACACAATGAACTAGACCTAATTTATTGGTAATGGATGACAAATCAGTTAATCTGTATAGCTTTTGATGTTTCTTGTCGCATTTTTACAAGATTTAAAGAATCAGTGAGTTCAATCCCTAGGCTGGGCAGCATGTACTTGAACTCGGTGGAAACAGGGTGAGCAATAACTGAGCAGTACTAGAAATAAGAACTAGACCAGATAACCCTAAACATGGGCAGTGGAACAAGAACAGTCTACCCCCATAGATTAAATAAAAGGATCAGTTTGGAATTTCCCGTAGGTTGCCTGGAGTGATATAAACTTGATAAAGGCCAGAGGGCACCATAGCCAAAATGTGATAACAACAAAAATGAGGACAATAGCCCACATGTAATAAATAATAACTCTTCATCCAAGAAATTCTTTAATTTTCTAATATGTATATAAATTCTATTAGTCCAAGGCAAATCTCATCAACGCCATTTTTCTACCAACGTTAACATACCAGTGCCAGACATGGCCCCTAACAAAAACCCTTGAGAGGAAACTGATCACTTGTGAGATGAAATGCCTGAGGAAAGCAGTGAACAAGACTAGGTGAGACAAGATCAGGAATGAGGTAATAAGAGATATGGTAGGAGCAATATCAATCATACAACACATCAAACAACAGAGGATCAAGTGGTTTGGACACTTCACATGTATGCCTATCAACTAACCAGCCCTATGCACCCTCAGGTACTCTGGTTGGAGAGCAAGAGGAAAACCAAGAAGACACTGGAGTGGTTCAGTGGCAGATACTCTCAGAGCCCATGAGATATCTCTCCTCCAGGCCACTCACCTTGCTGCTGACAGACGACTGTGTCTCCCTGTGATGCCTAACAGCACAAGTGGAAGGAAAAAATAAACTAAAACTAAAAAAGGCTTCTTTTGTCCTAACGGAACAAATATGTTTTTTCTAGAATTAAATGCTTAGGTGATCATTATGCACTGATACATTTTTAAGATAATGAAAATCATAAAAGATTTATTTGAAATTTACATTGATTGCATGAATTACATTTTATATATTGAATATAAGTTTCTTTTCATTATTTTCCAGATCATCTCTGCCCAGTTCTTATCTGATAAGAAGATCTCATCTTATGTTGAAGTTGAGATGTATGGTTTGCCAACAGATACAGTGAGAAAGAAGTTCAAAACTAAAATCATTGAGAACAATGGCATGGATCCTTACTATGATGAGAAAGTCTTTGTCTTCAAGAAGGTAATTTAAATATATTGTGTTGGCTATTTGATGCCAACTAACAATTCAGGCTCCCATTAACTGATATTCTGACATGAAATGTTTTCATAAGTTTATGAATTATATATATTGTACTGAAAGTATTTTTCTTCTCTAATCTCCTATTTTTTTTTTTAAGTTTAGGTAATACTCTACATAGAGTTTCTTTTGATGATTGGTACTACTTAATTTTTTATACTGATATTCACTTAATACAAGGCAATTAAAAAGTAGAGAGTTAATGCGTGGTGTTGTATGAGTATAAGAAAAGGCAAGAAGTGAAGTTCATGAGATTATGCAAGGAAGATAACAGTTAACCCTAAATTAAAATTGTAGTTATATATGTCCTTTAGTTAAATGTTTCTTTAAAATATATTCTTAAAATAAAACACACAAAAATGCAAATATCAATGATATAAGCACAGTTTTAAACTTGATATTTGTAAATAAAAACAAAGTACAGGTAACTCTTTAAACATTCAGAGATAATTTAGACACTGTATTTATATTATGAATAGAATTCCCATTTCTAAATTTTTAAAAAATTTAATATTTTTTAATTCTGACAAATGTCATGGCTTTGGTAAGTCTAATGAATGCTAATCTACAAAAATTATTCCACCCAAAAAGTTTTTTACCTTTTTTTTCACACATGGACCAATCAATTTAATTAGTATCCAATGATCCTAACTCTTCTGAAAATTTTCTAATGCTGGCATTTAAGTTCTCTTTAACATTGCACTTTGAAGCATTATAATTGAAAACTGATGGTTCCCCATTTATAAGCTTCATTTCAAGGGACAAGTCATCTCATACAAAATGCTTAAAGCATATTTGTATCTGCCATTATAACATCTAAAACAAAAGGTACAGCTGAAAAATACTGATAATGGTATCACATGTATAATAATAATAATAATAATAATATTAATGGTATAGTAGAATCATAAGTATTCTTTATAACAGCTGGCTACTCATTTCTAAGTACCCCTGTCGACTAGGGCAGCTAACCAATCCCTGCAACAGACACCTTCTCAGGAAACATTTGTGTTTGTCCAACACCCACAGAGTCCACCAGTGGTTTATACTGCAACTATGCTGAGCAGACCTTAGTTACAGTTTCTGGAAGAGAGCTCATAATCTAGCATGATTAACAGTTTGAACAATGGCAGTAGGCTTAAACTCTTGGTCATGATAACTTGTGGCATCATGCTAGCATAGCCATCAACAGCTTCCAAAACAGTTCCATCTACCCAATTTCATTCACATGCTTTGGATGAACCCATGGTAAAGTTTTCAGGCACTTTTAAATGATGCCACATGCTGGGATTGCCTCTCCAGGCCAATAATATTAAGAAGTCATCTCCATGATACTTCAACCCTGGTGAGATTTAAACCCAGGTTTCATGGTTAGAAAGCAAACATTTTAATTACTCAACTACATGCCCATGTATTCTCTATATATGTGCAAGAAATAATCTTTGCAGTAAGGATCTGTAAAAAAAAAAAAGAAAAAAAAAGAAAATACTTTTGATACACACTAATACAAACTGATTTGTTGTTTTTATTACAATATTCCAGCCTATGCAAATTCTCACCTTCCTCAGTGGTATGTTAGACTTAGTAACACTTGAGAACCATAGAGTATTTTTCTCTTTATCAAGCCAACTCCTTAATATAAATAATTCACATATATGGACATCAAAATTCCTCATCCTTAACTGGGAAATTTTTGCCTGGATCTGGATAGTGTTTCTCATGAGAAAGTGGCAAAACAAAAATTATTGGATGACATGTGAGGAAATCTAAAGTGTAGATTGAATGAAAACAACAAAGATGAAGATTTTAATCCAAATGGTCTATGGATTAATTAATGTTAACCTTTTATGCTCTTAACTGATTTGGATCAGCTTACAGCTATATCATGTTGAACAAGAGTTCAGCAAAGTTGAATCTGGTCAGTACATAAATGGGTGACTGCTGTAAGTTTGGATGTGTGGGTAATGTAATTGATAACAGCTCAGAATTGAAAATTGGAGAGAGCCAAGTTCCAATTCCAGTGGGTTTCGTTATATTCACTTACATACAAATACCCTTGGGAAAGGTATCAATCTTCCCCATCTCCTCCAAGCTATGGGTTAATTAGTAGGACTTGTTTCAGTAAGTTATTATTATATCCCCAAAATTTTTAGGATATAAAAATATTTTCTAGCTTTGAATAGACTGCATATGGTTAATAAGCCACAAAAAACAATTAATCAATCAAATTAATGTTTCATGAAATATGAATTCCTTAGAAAATATAATTGCAAGAGATTTAATTTTCATTCAATGTAGGTTGTATTGCCTGACTTAGCTGTAGTCAGAGTCATTGTATCTGAAGAAAATGGTAAATTTATTGGACATCGTGTCATGCCACTGGATGGTATCAAACCTGGTAAGTTTGTTTTAAATATTTGCAATTTTCATGAAAAACTAAAACTGTATTTATATATAAATGCTATACAATTATTGCAGTAAAAACTAACAAAATCACACAAATTCAGTTATTATTTCCAAAAATTAATTATATACAAAAGATAACAACTACATAAAAATTCCAATTATTTATACATGCAATCATCAATTATTATTGCAGTCAAAAACCAATTATCATTACATTAAAAAAAATCAGTTATCATAATTATGTGCAAAAAACATTTGAATATCAGATATTTTTAGATACAAAAACCTGTTGTTATTATTAAACATGATTAAAGAAAATTTATATTTGCAACTTTTGAATTATTAACTAAATTGTTCCCTTTTTAGCATCTCAGTTTTACTATGTGTTTCTTATAACTTGAATTGAAAGAGGATAAATTTACTCATAAATTCTCATAGATTTTATGCATTTATTTTACAGGTTACAGGCACATTCCCCTTCGAAATGAGAGCAACAGACCTCTGGGTCTGGCGTCCGTGTTTGCACACATTGTTGCCAAGGATTATGTATCAGATGCATTTGCAGGTAACATCTTAATGTCTAATAGTAAAACTTTGGAAAGAATAATAAAAACAAAGTTTTAAAATTATTTCCTATGGAACTCTCTTCAGGCTTCTTGCTTTCCTGTAAACTATGATCTTCAAAACTTTAAATGCAACATCAACCAACATCTTCTGTCTTTCTGAATCCTGTTCTTTTATTGTCCATTCTCCTCACTAACATTTTCTCATTTTCTTTTGCTCTCAGTAAAACCTTACATTTAGTGGCTTTATTGCCTTAAATTCATGCAGTTTAGGTACTAAGAAAGAGAGCTCATAGAACAACTGCCATAAAAAATATTTATAAAAAAAATGGAAGCTAATTCATGGCAGTGGGAAATGACTGAAGTCGAGATAACATATCAGGATCATTACAAACCTTTTTGGGATTTTGTAGAGAATCTCATGATATATAACAAAAACCAGATCAGGTATGGTAGGAATATTCAATGCACAAATTGAATGGTGGATTTATAAATATGCAAGAAAAATTTTCTGGTACAACACAGTGAACCAACATTTCTAGCCGCAGACCTAGCAAGTGATTTAATATAATCACTCTACTTCATGTTGGTGGAAAATGTGATTTTGCACAGATCGCTAAAAAATACAAATATTGAAACACATTTCAATAAGAAATATGTTTTACTCATAGTGCATTATTAATGTACTTGACCAATGCAAGTAAAAGCTGGATAAAGTTCTTACATAGCATATGCACATGCTTGGTATGTTAGGATTAAAATACTGTATATAGTAACATAATGGAATCAAATTAAGGATGACCATTAGTGACCACCCATGACTGAATGTCCATAGATTAAGGTGATCCTATATGATTATACTTCATTGAATGATCATAAAGTAAGGATGATCTTAGCCATCCTTGACTCAATGATCATAGACTAAGAATGATCATCTTTGACTATCCTTGACTGAATAATCATAGATTAAGAATAATCATCAATGATCAGGTTTCATTGAATGATTCATAGATTAAGTATGATAATCTTTGTTCATCCTTAATATCTGATCATCCTTCTTTGCTTCTCTTGCAAGTCTTGATCACTTCCATTTTCTACTTTTGTAGAAAGGGTTGTGAACTCGCAGAGCAATGTTGTTTGATGTCAACAACTTGTTTAAAAATGTAAAACTCCACTTTTATTAATCTATTCAAAATTTGACATTATTAATGCACATGACTAATACAAATACATTTTACCAAGTCTCATAATCTATTTTGCACACATCAAACTCTGGAGGATTTTTTTAGACTACATTTGGTGGCCATAACTACAGTCTGTTACCAAGTGGAAGAATAGATACAAAATCCAGAAGAATTGGCAGAGCTTAAATACAGCTCCAGGATTGAACCAGTTTTAACCAGCAGGAGTGTCAAGCCTCCTGCTGCTAATTTAAATGCAATTAGCTGCTATATAGATTTAACACTTCACCCCAGAAATTTAGGCACAAATTGTTAAAAAATATTTTACTACTAGTTTATTCATTTTGTCAATAAATAAATATATCTTTCCAGTTATTGTTGTTATAACCTGTTTTTTCACAGAGTCAGACTTTTCATTTGCTAACTTCATAAATATCTTTCCATCATAGCTACTATTCTGCCATCTAGCATTGAAATTACAAAAAAGATAACTCTTTATAAAGCAAAATATTACAAACATTAACATTTGGTCTGTTATATTGCAAGATAAAAATTGTGATTGAACTAATCTCTTTAATTTAATTATTAAAAATTTTCAAAATTTTCCATAGTTCCATGAATAATTAAACTATTATTTGATGAAGCTTTGTGCCAAGCATATTTATCTGATGGAGATGCTAGTCATTGGCTGACTAATAACAGCATCTCATGTCAGAAATTAAGAAACTAATGAAAGCTTCTTTTTTTTTTTTTGTAGACTTTGCTGATGCTTTGCTCAATCCAATTGCCTACCAATCTGCCCAAGAAGCAAGAGCTGCAGCCTTGTGCGCTTTTGAAGATGTAAGTTTATATAAACTTTATATTGAACAGTAATTTCTTTGGAGAAAGATGATAATATCTATCCCTTTATTATAACTATTCATAAAAATTGTTTCATAATTAGCTGTGTAATCAAACATCTGTAAACAGGATAAATATTTTTCACAATTTGATTCATTAAGATAAGAATAAAACTTTGATTGTTGATATATTTCTTGAAAACTGATTTAAACATATATACATATACTAAAGCAGAAAAAATTTGCAGGACAAAAAGTGCTCTGCCATTTTAATAATAGGAGCTATTTATAAAATCTCTATTCATTTAAATCAATTACAGGACCAAATTTGCCCTGAAATTGAGCAGTCACAACAGATTTCAAAAAGTGCTCAACAGCTCAGGTATTGTACAATTTTTTAAATCTGCTGTGAATGGTCAATTTTGGGGCAAAAGTTGTTCTATAGTTGATTTAAATGAGTAGAGATAGTTTAGTCCAGCACAAAGCTAAAATTGTTGGACACTCCATGAAGATCGATTAAACTCACTACATGAGCAAAGATTTGTTAATCACTGCTCTGTCAGATGCCCAATATGTCTTGTGCCACCATGTCTTCTGGTGGGCAACATAATATATTTGTAGATGGAACAGAGCTTGGTACTTTAATTCAATTTAATTCAAATAATTATATTGAAGTTTTCGGCTCTTGTTTTGAAACATGAGAACTCTTATGTAGCGATGGAATCATATTTTTAAATAAATAATTATGTTTAGGCTCTACTTTTGTATCGAGTATTGTTTTTTAAAAATAATAACAAAAATACTAAAGAACGTTAGATTATTTACCTAACGAGTTCTTTCCTATTTTCTATATGTTTTTACACACACACACACACATATGTGTGTGTGTGTGTGTACTGTACCCAAATATCTTTTACTCAATATATTTTGTGCCTATGCCATTTTTGGCCAATATATCTTGTGTCAAATATATTTTTTGTGCTTAGTTTTCTTGTACCCAATATATATGTCATATTATGTATCCAATATATATGTGTCGTGCACTCATGTGTTGTTTCTAATATATATTGTGCTTAATATTTCTTGTAACCTTATATCCTCTGCCCATATATATTGCAGTCAATAGATCTTGTTCCTCTGATTTCTTGGACTAAATATATCTTGTGGCCATATATCCTGTACTTAGTACATCATCTGTTTTTTGTGTCTAATATCCTTGGAGCACACATATCCTGTGCTTAATGTATTTTGTGCCCATATTTCCTTTACCTAATACATCATGAGCTCAATATGTTTTGGGCCTACATGTCCTGTAGATCTTGCGCTTACATCCTGTACCTAATATCTAGTGCTTATTATGCCCAGTATGCCTATGATCCTTATGTCCTGTACCCAATGTATCTTGTGTTCATATTCTGTGCCTAATATTTCTTGAACCCAATATGCCTAGGGCTGTTATGTCCTGGGTTCAATGAATCTTGTGCCACATTTTATTTGTCTCTTAAGTCATGGACTCTTTATGCCCAATATGTCTATGGTTGTTATGTCTTGTGCCCAATATGTCTATAGTTGTTATATCTTATGCTCATTGTGCCCAATTTATCTGTATTCACTATATCTTGTGCCCAATGAATCTTGAGCCCACATCCTGTGCCTAATATATCTTGTGACCTTGTCCTTTTATGCTTATGTTCATTATATCTTGTGCCCAATGAATCTCAAGTTCACATCCTGTGCCCAATATGCGTAGGGTCCTTATATCCTGTACTCACATCCTGTGCCTAATATATTTTCTATTTGTTGTGCACACCCATATGTTCTGTGTCTAATTCATCTTGTGCCTAATATCTCTTATGCATATTGCATAATCTCAAAGATTTTCAATATGATGCTTAATAAATTACTTTTTCTTCCCTTTTTTTTCTTTTTACTTTTCTACATATTTGAATGTTTAAATTTTAATAATTATACATTATATTTAAATCATAATGTTGTATTTTTTTGTAAAAGAATTGTCCAGAAATATTTTAAAGCCTTACAACTGCTTTCATTTTATGGAATATAATATACGAACTATTTCCCTTACGTTTTTGTCACAGGATCCAGATGCTGCCTTAGTAAGTACTAACTCACTCTTGTGACCATCTGTTATCTTTGCTAGCTGCAAATTTCAACCCTATTGTTGTTTTGGAGTACATGTCTTGTTATATTTGATTTAGAAATGCATGGATTTTCTCTGCTGTTAGTTTATTTGCTTTTGCTTTGGAAGAAAAAGATTTAATTCAGGATAAAGCATGGAAGATAATATTAAAAAAAATCTATTTGATTTTCTCCATTTGTAGAAAGGATTTTGTATTTGCTTTTAATTTCACAATTTCCTTTAGGATTATTTATGACTTGCACTTTATGAAAACATTAGTTGATATATATATATATATATATATATATATATATATATATATATATATATATATATATATATATATATATATATATATACACACATTTTATTTCATTCCTACCTGCTTTTGTCACATTTCCAGGAAATTAATTTCCTTTGTGTATTTGTTTTTTTTGTTTGTTTTTTTTTTTTCATCAATTTTCTTCTTTTATTTATTACTTGATCCCATTAAAATATTTGTTGACATAAAACCTTTGCTACAAGTTTCATTGTTTTTAGACATTTCTCCATTGAAAAGGACTGGAATATTTTTTCTTTCCAACTTCTAATCTGTAGTGTTCACTTTCATGCTATTACACTTGGGACAGACATGACTTCATCTCTTCACTCCCCAGCTATGGGTTAAATAATAGGATAGACTGAGCTTTCTAGCCTTGTATGGCAGCCATTCTAGAAGAAGAAAAACTCTGAATTCCAAACTGTAGAAAAGGTAACAGAAAGTAAATCCACTATCTTTCCCAAGAAGGAACAGCAATTTCCAGATTATAAATAATGCTGAATGCTGTCATTTAAGAAAAATATTCCCAAAATGGATATAATATTTAATGAAAGTCTTATGCTCTATAAAGGAAGGTTTGGATAGATTTAATATATTCTGATGTAGCATTAACAATTTAGAATAAAATGTTCTGCGCTTTGTGATCTAGTACTCGTTATGTATGGTCTTTTATTATGCCTTGGGAAAATAGCCCAATCTGACACTGATTTGCTTACCTGCAAAATGTAGCCTCATACGATGTTCATCATGAAGCCATTGCGACGAAACTGTTATTCAACATTCACAATCACTTTAGAAGGTCCTGATGGAGCTGTCTGATTTATTATTGAATAGACAGATAAGCTATAAAAATAAACAGGAAAAGATGCTTCTATAAGGACAGAATGAATTTATAAAAAGTGGAGATATTGTAACTTTTAATAAAAGAAAAACAATACCTCTTTGCCAGAAATATTTTTAAAAATGTACTCAATTCTCTTATTTATAGTGAAGAACAAGAAGAAATGAACACTTGGCAATTAATCTGTAAATAAAACCTTTTAATAAGAGAAATAGATATGGCAGACCAACATTTAGCAAATTACTATTTGAAGGCAATAGCTATAACTTAGAATCAGCTTACCCTGTTTCCAGAAAACACAAATATTGTTCCTCTTGTTTGATATGGTTCAGTGTAATTCTTACCTTCCATAGAAGGCCTCCGGGAAGCTATAACTTTCAACACTGCAGGATAGAGTGAAGACAATGAATGAGTCTATTAAAAATGTATGCTCTTGAGCCCTTGCAACCTTGCCTACCAGACTTAAAATGTTTTCCCATTAAGCTTTCTCCTTCTAAAAAAAACAATGAGAACAAGAAAGTGTATTATCTGTGCTCAAAATTGTGAACACAATGGGAAAAAATTCTATAAAGAAATGTAATATCAGAGCAAGCAATGCAACAGATTTTTTGTTTTTATTATTTTTACAGTCCTTTTTGATTTTTATTTCTCTAGGCTTTTTTCATTGTGTTTATCATTTTTCCAGCCCTTTTTCATTATTTGTATTATTTTCTAGTTATTTTTCATTATTTTATTATTTTCCATTTTTCTTTGTTTTAATTTTTTTTCTCCAATACTTTTTCATAGTTTTTACTTTTTCTGTAATACTCTTTGTTTATTTTTAGCATTTTTTTTCATTGTTTTCATTATTTTCCAGCCATTTTTCATTATTTTTCAATCCTTTTTCATAGTTTTTATCATTTTCTAGTCATTTTTCAATGTTTTTTTATTATTTTGCCAGTTCTTTTTTATTGTTTTCATTATTTCTCCAGTCCTCTTTCATTACTTTTATTATTTCTTCAGTCATTTTGTATCATTCTTTCAGTCTTTTTTCATCATTTCTCCAGTCCTTTTTCATTAGCTCAGAGATGTAAGGCTGTTTAAAAAAAGGTTTTATTTGCCTTTTCTTTTTTCACTACAGGTGAGTCATCTCATTACCTCATTTGTGAAGTTAAAATATAGTTTCAATATATTTTATTTTCATTTATAATGAAATCCTTTCTTAGCAACAAAAATGAAACTGAAAAATATATTGTGCCAGATTTGTTTTCTTATAGTCCCCTTTTTTATTTAACACATTTTAAAAGAACATTACAACTTTGATGTAGGCTCTCAAAAGAGATAAAGATTAAGATTTCTGCCATGAAATAGTATTTCGTCAGCTGTTTGCATGAAATTTACTCATAAGAAATAAATTAATATTTGCAAAGCAAGAAAAAGAGATCGTATATGAGTTGACTGTTTATAAAATGATTTGAGTAAGTGTCAAACCACTATACAGAGCTGTTACTTAGGTTACTGTACTGTACTGTACTGATGCGGCATTCACCCTGGGCAGATTGAGCCGGCTTCTTCCTGTTATGCGAAGAAGATTCTTGGGATAAATTACAGAAGTAGGGTACACAGGCCTACTCGGATAATGTTCTTGCTTGCCGCGGGGTTCCCACAGACGCAGAGACAGGAACGACCAGAAGCCGCCGGTTACCGATGCAGACGCTCCTT